AGCATAAAAACATTGCTAAAGGGGGGAAAAAAATCATATATACGTACATCATAATTTAAAAACTTCTGTACCTCAAAGTGAAGGGTGTGTCAACCACTTTCAGTACTTGAGGTAATACTTGACTTCTTCAACAAATACATTTCAAGTGATACTTCAACTGCTTTCAGTGCTCACACTTCAACCGACATCTTTAAGTTTTTACACTTTTCACCTTCACTACTTTCAGGACGTCCACTTCCAGCTCCTTTTGTCGCTACCACTTCTACCGACATTTCAACCTTCTTTTCTGTGATGAACTCATTTTGGACCTTTTCATTTTAATCGATACTTCAACTTCATTCGGCATTAACACTTAAACAGACTGAACTTCTATTTTAATAAAACAATCTTAACTCGAGGGCCAGTTGCATTATTTTCTTTTGTTTTTAGCTTTTAACTGCAGCCTGAGGTGAAGTTGCAGTTGAAGAAAAATACTTTTATTAACACCTAACAAAGGATAATTTTTGTTGAAACATTAAATTAGGATGAATTGTACAATGAAACTTTTCACTTTCATGTTTGGCTAAATTGATTCTGAAACTACACAAATGAGCATTTAGAGGAAGTGCTTTCACTGCATCCAAGTTCCTTTCCGATTGTACAACATGATGAGAAGTCAAGAAATTTGGAGACAACTCTCAGTAACTACTCAGCTCTCTAACCCCCCCTTCCTTTTAAGCTCTATACAACCACAAATACACATGCAAAACAAACATGAACACAATCACTCATTTTTGCTTTCCGTACATCACTCAAATGTAGAGCAGCAGCTAGATTGTAGGGGCAGGCCGGGCTGGTCTCCAGCTGTGTGCAGCGTCATAAGCAGCAATTACTCTGTATGACAAGTTAACATTAAGTCCCCCTGCTGCTGCTGCTGCTGCTGCGCTGTCGGTTGGCCCTGAGAAGGCAGCATGTGAGTCGGGGCTCACAACACACTGAGCCGGACACTTGTTATCAGAGCTCAGTTAATCAGTGAACCGATCCTGTATCAACAGCTGTGCCGCTCAACCTTGTTGGTTCCCGGCCCTTAAAACACACACTGGGATTTCAGTTTCCGCGTGCGAGCTTGTTCACTTGGTCGATTTCCAAGATTGCAAATATGTGTCATTTTCAAGTGGTATTGTGTCTTTCCAGAAATATTTGGTGGGGAAACAGTCACTATTATGACAATGATACTACTTACAATGTCCGGAGAATGTTTCAGCTGGAAGCTGAGTTTCGAAGGATTTTTTTCAGGAAGAACAAATATCCTCTCGACCTCTCCCTGTCACATCTGTTTCCCCGACGTCAGATGCTGTTTGTAAGGTTCAAATTAGGAAAACGCAACAAGCCGACCTGAAGGCGTTGATGACCTGAAGGATGACGCATTCCAATATGGGTCAACTTTGAGGGCCCGTCTCCTGAATGGTTTGTCATTCTGTTTAATCAAACCAAGTGTTCAAACACTCTTTTGGAGGTTAACATTAATGAAAAGAAAGTGTTCAATTTGAAAGGGATGAGGTCAGAAAGTGATTGTTTTTTCTGACTGAATGGCCCTGACGGCAAAAATGGACACGCGCTGCAAACGACAACTGAACTTTTATCATGACCACATGTTAGAACGTCTATTTGTTCATTCACACACACAAGATATTACATTTTAAATGCAATCCTGTCAATGATCATATAAACCTGGGTCTCGTCCAATGCTGGAATGCAGAAAAAATAATACATATTAGCAGCGACACAGATCAAACTGTGCGTGTGGCTAAATGAAGCAATTTCAGGTTCCATTACAGTTTCCTATTTTACGCTTATTTAATCCTTCTGTTCCCTTGCTCTTAATGCTAATCCCACCACCATTCACAGCCCTGAGCCCATAGTGGAGACCTTATACAGGGATGTTAAGAGTCGAGGCACGTTCCCCAAAGCACAGGAATTCCTCCTCTGCTCAGTCTCTTCGACACCCTGTACTTTCTATGGACAAACACCGCAGGAGAATATTTTGTGCTGACTTTTGCGGTTTTGCTCAACCTGGAACAGCAGCCAGAGACGCCATTACTCAGTTTAACTACCGTGTTGAGTTTAATGGGGTGGCCACACAGCAAAAATGTTTTTTGGCAGTATGATAACATCCACTTGTTATGGTTCAGTCAGCTGATTGCAACACGTCCCCCGACATAAAGCCGAGCTGCTGAGCACTATGGGGAGTCTCCATTTTAGGTAAAACATGTTTTTTTTTGTTATTTATTTATTTTTAAACACGATCTGCCTCATTTGCTCCAAGTCCTGCATGGACGAGGGCTGTAAACGCTTTCATCTTCACTGTCGTGGCCGAGGGTGGAAAACATCTGAGCCGCAAAGCTGGGGAGAAACGGAGCGGTATGCTGAGCGAAGCAATACTGCAACCAACAAGAAGTGAAAGTGATCTGGTCACAGTTTGCATGAAACTGGAGTCTGTTATAGTCACACACATCTTCTGTGGTAATGGCAGCCTTTCTGCATTTTGTCACGAGAGTTCACGGTGAGGACCCAATAGCAAGACCACAGGAGACAGAAGTTGGTATAAACAGGTTTTATTTAGCCTGAATTAAGATGACAGGAAGGTGTGGAGCCCGTGGTCCGACACCAGAGAGTAGGCAGATCAACGGTGTGAGTCCCGTGGCTCGACACCGGAGGGCTGGTAGCTTGATGGCGTGATGTCCCGTGGCTCGACACCGGAGAGCTGGCAGCTTGATGGCGAGAGTAGTCCGTTAACACAACAGAGGGCAGAGCGGCGGTGTGTAGTCCGTTAACACCACGGAGGGCAGAGCGGCGGTGAGTAGTCCGTAAACACAAAGGAGGGCACGGGGGATTCCCGGACCGATGGACACCGGAGGCAGGCGCTCGAAGCCGAAGATGCACCGGGGTTGAAGCGGGTGAAAGACGGTACAAGCTGACAACCCCAGACTGCACGACCAGAGTTTATATAGTGCCAGGGAAAGCGTTAGTGGGACCTGAGTCTGGTGTGTCAGCCTGCAGGAGGTAATCGGCTGGAGTGGCTGCAGCTGTGTGGCCATGGGAGGTGCCTGGTCTGACAGGGATCCTGACACATTTAGAGCTATGTCTAGTATGTTAAGTTGGCTTCTCTACAATGGCTGCCAGTTGATTTTCAATATTTGTGTGTGTTATTATCCGAGCTTCTCCTTGCTTTGTTGAGAGCAATGAGAGCCATTAAGAGGCAACCACAATGCTCCAAATCTCGTGTTATGCACCTTCAGTGCCCGACTCAAACCAGTTCTGAAGAGGCTGACACCTGCAGCGGAGGTCATCCAAAAGAATTCACCAATTCTACATCAGCCTCCTTCAGTCCATCCACCCATTACCGATAGCTGCTTATCCTTTACAGGATCACAGGGGTATGCCGGGCCTGAACCCAGCTCACATTGGGCCAGTTGCGGGGTACAACCTGGACAGGTCACCAGTCAATCACAGGGCTGACACATCGAGACAGGGGTGAAGGTGGTTCATGGCTCTGGCCTTGAACTTCACACATCCCCCTCGCCGGGACCTTGCTGCTTCCCGTGGCCTTGGACTAAGTGCTCCCTGTGCCCTCTCCCCCTGCAGGGAGGGACGTGGGCCCCAGCTCTCCGCTGCGACCGTCAACCGGACGGACTGTCCTTAGTGTGGGCAGACCCGTCTTGAAACACGGACCCTGTCTCGTTTACCATGCTTTGTGCGTGTGACTCCTTGATGTGCCATCATTCATATCTATAGCCTAAAACCACCTGTGGAAAACACTGGTGTCCGCGTGATTATTTACAAGCGCGCCTGGCCTGCTAGAATATAAATATATAATGTAATGCACACTATATAATGTAATGCACACTGACTGACAAAAAAAACAACAGCTCAGCTTGAAATTCTTAATCGACTCTCCGGGGGCAGCCTTATTATTTTCCTCCATTCAATATTATAATTTTCTATAACTTAACTTATCATTAATAACCTTGTTTTAGAACTCCAATGTGATAAGTGTTAGAGACAAAGCACAGAGAGAGTAGAAAGAGGAAGTGTGAGACAGTAAGTGGACAGAGAGCGTTTTTGGCTTTCTAATTTTGACCTATGTAACAGTTAAGTCACTAATAGTCAGTTCACAACAATCCCTGGTATACTGGTTTTCCACATACTTCCTTTTGTTCCCGTGGAGCTACCACATGCCTCCTCTGCTTCGTTAATGAAAACCAAGCAAACGGTTCAACAAAGGGGGCTTAATCAGGCGTGCAGACCTCCATCCTGAATCTAAGAATCAACTAGTAGCGACACTTGTAGTTACCAAGACACCAGCTGATGTTGTAACTGAATGTTTTATCATCCAGGACACAGTGTTAACCTCATTTTACTTTAAAAGACATATCTTGACACTTACATACTATTACTTTAATTAACACTGTGACAAATTATTTTCAATCATTCTAATGTAATGAAATGATTCGTCATGCTGTCAGTATGTAACCAAAACACATGTTGAAACAGCCACTTGATTAACAGAAAGCCTCAACACACGAATGTTCTTTGTAGCAGTTATTTTAGTGACTACACTGAAACATTCAATTAATGATCATATACAATGTGAGTTTGTTGGAATGTGGGAATATTAACAGATGATGTGGCAAACACCTTTAGCCGCTAACTCCGACACAAAGCAAAATTCCAAAGCTAAAGATGGGTTTTGTGCACTGCAAGCCTTTGCAGGTGTTACAAAAGGTGTTATTGTTTTGCGCGTTAACCCTTTTGTCCGACAGGTCTTTTGGGGGAACCGCTGCAAATTTGGACAACCATCAGTGCTCCATGGGCTTCTATGGCATGTTGCTGTGTCAGGCTGTTTCCACAAAGGGGACCTCTGCTTGTCAGGTATAAAAAGGAAGGTTTTCCGACAGTTAGACAAGCAGTTCAGCTCCAAGTGCAGCAGCAGCAGCATCTACTGACAACATCTGGCAAAGATGACCTCCAGCAACAAGATGATGAACAAGATCGTCTTCTACGAGGACAGGAACTTCCAGGGCCGCTCCTACGAGTGCAGTAGCGACTGCCCCGACATGTCCTCCTACATGAGCCGCTGCCACTCCTGCAGGGTGGAGCGCGGCTGCTTCGTGGTCTACGACTGCACCAACTTCATGGGGAACCAGTACTTCATGAGGAGGGGCGAGTACGCCGACTACATGAGCATGATGGGCATGAGCGACAGCATCAGGTCCTGCCGCATGATCCCCATGCACAGGGGCTCCTACAGGATGAGGATCTACGAGAGGGACAACTTCCAGGGTCAGATGCACGAGCTGATGGAGGACTGCGAGAACGTCATGGACCGCCACAGCATGGCCAACATCATGTCCTGCAACGTGATGGAGGGCAACTGGCTGATGTACGAGCAGCCCCACTACAGAGGAAGGATGATGTACATGAGGCCCGGAGAGTACAGAAACTTCATGGGCAGCATGAGGTTCATGAGCGTGAGGCGCATCATGGATTCCTGCTACTAGACGGTGACGCATCACGGTGCAGCAATTGGTTTCCAAAGAAATTCTAGAAAATGAGTGACAAAGCAACTTCTCCGGAGCAATACACACTGGTTGTTGACTGCAGCGAATGAATGAGAAAGATTGCTAAGCAGTGAACTAACTGCACATACAGATGTCTGTGACTGAGGGGTGGGTGATGAAGAAAACCTAATAAATTCTGCTTTGTTACTGAAATCATGTTGGAAATATTTCTTTTCTTTCCTCTTCCTACATTTGCTAAAGGTAGTTTGTCATCCTTCCTACATACTCTCCAATACCCTCGGCCTATTGACGTAGTGAAATTATGTTTTTCATAAACAAATTGCTTACCTGGGGCTCTTGGTGATAAAATCAGGCACTTTAAAGATAACAAGTCGTATGACTCAGTTTAATGAAGTACTGAAAAATGGATTTTTCTTCGATGTCACACACATCCATTAGGGCTGGGTGATATGACGATATTTATCGTCAGAATATCGGTATAAAAATGTTCATTATTTATAAAACCGGCGGCCCAACGGGTGTTACAGCAATAGTTACGTCACTTGGACGCCGAGTTGCGTTCCTTGTACATGAGAGCAGAGCTGGAGTGAAGGGTCAGAGCAGGAGGAGCTCATACCTCATTGGGGGCTACTTCTGTTGTATGGACGCGGTTTGGCTACAAAAACCCAGACGCGGACCAGAAAACCTAATCTTCTGCAAGGTTTGCCACACGGCTTGCTTTACCATGTGGTTTAAATTATATGGACTATTTATTTGTTAAATTACCAGCCAATGTGATATATATATATATATATATATATATATCAGCATGGTTATGGTTGAGTTTTTGGTGAAACAGTCTTGCCTATTCTTTTCTCTGCTATAGTATCTTTCTGTCTGTGTGTTAGGCCAGGGCTGGTATCAAATAGCAAACTGTTTAGAATAGGCTAAAAATAAAGGCTACTTGTAACAGTTTAGCCTGGAAGTTAGACTGACTTACTGTAAAAGAAATATAAAAGTCAATAAAGAAGTGAAAACATGCATTCAAAATATAGGTTTTTCTATCAAAAAGTATCGGTATTGGTACCAGTATTGTGAGACCAAAATGTACATATAAGCAAAGTCAAGATAAGTAGTTGCTTTGTTAATGCATACCAAGAAGTGAATAGCTCTCTATCTGGCCGATTGCATTAAATGACTCGCATACATTTTTAAGATGATTACATCTTCCCACCAATAGAAAGGGGATCTTCCCCAATTAGGGCCTGTATTCAGTTCATACAGTTCAACAGATCACGCTGGAAAGCTCGCTAGCCACGCATCTCTCTGCTTTAATCCTAGTAAAGTCCCTGTGTGTGTGGGAAACAGGCTCCCATGTTGCAGGTCAAGGTGCGTCTGCTTTCATTGACCTTGTCTGCTATTTTTCTCCCATAAGCAGGTGGAAAAGCTCTCACCCCTCCCTGTCAGTCCTAATTAGAGTATCTCTCACCAAATAACACTCATTAGTTTAGGCAGCCTCATACAGGCAGCTGGGATACAATAGAGCCAATGGCTCCTTGGGGGTACTTCCCAGTGTTTCATAGCAGTACCTTAACAATAGCATTAGCTAAATATTAGTAGTCCACGTCCCAGTAACCGACTGACTGATTTAACGTTAACACAAAATAGCCCTGCTAGAAGCAGCCGCTAGCAGTGATGTTATAAGAAAAAAAAGGTTACCAATATCATTGGGAGGCTTCTTGCATCTGGCAGACACCAGTCATCATCATCCTCATCATCATCCTCATCATCGTCTGGGCGCTGACACAACACAGCAGACAGTCTGTCAGACATTGCACACTGTTCGGCCTTGTTTGTCCAACTGTCACTTGCAATTTCTGCAGTTTTGGCATTGTGCTCGTCAGCCAGTATCAGTCAGTATGTTGACTAGCATAACAGGCAGAAATACACAATGAGCTGTCTGATTGGCTGTTTCTTCTTCTTTTTGTATATTTGTATATTCCCTTGTCTTCTTCCAACAACACCAATTAAAAGAAATGCAAAACTTAAAGCCGCACAAATCAAATTAATCAAACATTGTTGTACTAACCCCAGATCAAGTTACCATGTGTAATGTGATAGGGGTAACCCTGAGTGATGAACCCACAGAAAATGATCAGCAAGTCTGCTGTTGCCCTCAGCTCTACAGAGCTTTTTAGCCTCTAAACTCATTAGCTGCTTTTCCACTACCATGCAAAACGCTGGGGTTTGTTTCTGTTTCAAGCCAAAGTATGAAGTTATTTTCAGCTACATTTTTTGACAAACTCACTGTACTCCACCTGCTCAGCCAAAGACAAGACACAGTTAGAAACTAGCTGGTGAAAATAGTGGAGCATTAAGCAACTAAAGAGAGCGAGATATCTTTCTCAGGAGTTGGTGGAGACCAAAACAGAGCTAAAAAGAGAGAGACTATTGAAAATGCATACATCTGGTGGCCAAAAGCACACACACATAGAGAGATATATAGAGATATATACTGTATGTAGAGATCTATATAACAATATAGATACATAGAGAAAGATATATATATATAGATATAGATATATAGATATTGTTAGATCATTTATTGAATTTTTTAACTAAGATTCTGGCCAGATCTTACATAAAAAGCTGTGTGACAGCTCAAGTCAGAGATCATCCGTCTTCTCTTCCATTATGCTGCTCAATATTGACCTCGTCAAAGCTGAGACACCTTCAGTGGCTAAAGACAGCACAGTCCTGTTCACAGCCCACAGCAGGGGACAAATAGAAGTTTCAGCACCAAAACACAGGTTTAGAGGACTTTCTAATGGGTCTTTTTGTGTCCCTTGCTTCCTTCTGTGCCTCTGGTGCCTTGTGGAGAGATCACAAGAAGGCAAAATATCCACATTCACATCCTTTCATGAAGAGAAGACAGCCATCTGCCAAATGCCTCTTCACATTAACTTTGCACCATTGAAGGCAGCGATGGTGCCGGGCAAAACTATACAACGCTGGAGCCATTACGGCTCCTCTCCAATCGATTTACTTCCCCCTCTCACTTTTTCATGCATCTCTCTCGAGAGAAGCTGTAGTCCAGGAAAAGATTGTGTTTAGGGAAAAGCTACAAGCAGACAACAGCAAATGTTTTGTCTGAGATGAAAAAAAAAGAAGGAAGAAGTCGGACAGCTGCAGAAATAATTCATGGATTGTGCTGAAAATAACTCTGTTCAATGTTTTAATACTGCCTTCTGTAATCTTGGGCGGTGATCCAATGTGACAAGCTCCGGTTTGGTCAAAATCAGAGATTTGGAAAAAGATGTGAGCAGGCTAATCTCAAATCAAACAATGAGCTCATCTTTAGGGATCCACTGTCCATCCAAGCAGTGACACAGGTTCAACAAGTATACGAGACTTCCTCTAAAAGGGCACAACTTAGCAAAACAGAGAAGGCTGAGAGTTACCGAGCAGGCTTAACAAGTCTGCGGGCCGCATTTCAGATTGTTTGGACGTCAAAAACCTGTTTAAATGAGAACAGTCTGGCCCCGGAGAGGAGCGCTATCCAAGCTGTAAGTCACATCAAGACAAGGCTCTAACCGTTTTCACAAACAACACGGGGAGAAGGAGGCCAAACAGCACTACCAGGGAAACCAAACCAGAGTAATGAACACGACTCCCAATTCCAGCATTAGCAACGAAAACTGCAATTGTATGAATGACTGTTTTCATTAGTGGTCATAGGAATATGTGGACAATGGTGGGAAAGGATTAGACACTTCAGGGGCTTCTGGGTGGTTCATTGTGCGAGGAAGCAGTGTGTTCGGCCCCCAGCCTGTGCTCACATCAACTCACACATCAGTCTGTGACCGTGGCACAGCTCGTACCCAACAGCTGGACTACAATTGGCAAGTCTGGATTTATTGTAAGGCTTAGACGTTCTGGGAACTGGAGGGCTGGGGGGGGGGTTGGGAGATCAGTCTACCACAGAAAGTCCTCTCAAATATGCAGAGGAATGAATTAGAGAAAAGGCTGGGGAAGGGGAAGGATGCTTCAAAGTAAGAGCTAGTCGGACCGCGGGGAATTCTCTGAAGCCTCCTCCTCCAGTAGTTAATAGTTTTGTCAATCATGTCTATTGGTTAGAATACTCACCAACTTATTTGCTGTGATCAAATTTAGACAGTCTGGCCTGTGTACAAACTGTGTTTCCTTGTTGGCCTTTATTGTAGAAAAGTTGCCGTATTCCCAGATTTCGTGCACATATTTTGGTGAGTACATTGTTGTCATGATCAAAGGCGCATGTAGGTGCAGTGGCAGGTAAATCTCATGAACTTTTTTGTTTTGATGTTTTTGTCTTTTCGTATTTATTCCAGGAGCACGTATGGCGTATGAAATAGAGATGCACTCATCTACATCGGGGAAGTAAGTGGAGGATTGGTTAAAGTGCTGCAAACTTGAACCGAGAGCATCCAGGAGTGTCCGGATGGACGCTAAGGCAAGTCCACTACCCAGCCTACTCCTGGTTGATGTCCTGTCACAGGAAAATAAGATGGATGAAACAAGACTTCAGGCTAACCCAGCCACGGGAGGTCGGAAAATGGTGCCGTCATCTTTACCGAGACCTGGCCCGATCGTGGCATCCCGGATCAGGCTGCACTTCACGAGCGGACCGCAGGACAGAGCGCAGGAATCCGTGGGACGAGAGGAGGCAAATTCAAAATATGTACTATACTGTTTTTGTTTTGTTATGTTTTTCTTGTGTGACATAAATGCCAGGATACAACTGCATTTTGTTGCGTAACCCTATGTTACAGAAGGACAATAAATGAATCTAGACAGGTCTAGTTTTAGCCATCATTCCTAAGTTGTAACAAGCTGGACTTAACTGGTGAAAGATGTGTATCAGATGACCAAACTCTAACAGGACTTTGTTTGGGGCCTCGGGCTAAAATGTAGTCTTGTGGATCAATTTCAGATATTGCACTAAAAATGGAGTAGGTACAACC